GGTCTTTTCCAACCTAGAAATCTATGAAAGGAAAGGTTCTCTACCAAACATGTAACAGTGACAGGAAAAGCCTTTGAAAGGACCTATAAACATATACACAGCATTTCAGTCAGAGAATTTGTGATCGTATCTCAATCAATATTAGCTTGTGGCCAGGCATTTAACATGCTAAGATACCTTAAGATAGCTCAGTTCAACATATCCACATTACTTTATCCCCGCTTCTCCCTTGATACAAAGGACTACATTCCTGCACTGCTTTGTAAGAATAAAGCCAAGCAAAATTTTTTCTATAATAAATTCAAGAGTTCAACTTCATAAACAAAGTAACTTTGTAGGTTTCCTTATAAAAAAGAAAGTATTTTTTTTCTGGCATATATTACATTAAAATATAATCAGGGTTCACTAATTCTGTTCAAAAATCACATAATGTACTTTTTGGCTGAAACACAAACACCTCTGCATATGAGTGTGCATTTAAACGTTTATAAACACATATACAAGCAGTTTAGTATACATTTTCTACCTTGTGTTAGGAAAAGGTTTTTTTTAATATGTTATAAGAAGGAAAAGCTACATTCTGCTATTTGACAAGACTTACACAAGGTCCTAATTTTTACTCATGTTCCAATTATTTTAATACATTTGAAGAGCTACAAGCATAAGCTGCTACTAAAATCCTGTCATGGATCTAGGTGTTGTGAGTGATCCCATTTCCAAGATTTCTGGAACTACAGGTAACTAGAAGTTACAATAAAATTTACTTTTTAAGTGAGAACAAGTATCACCTAAAACATTTGTTTAATAAAGGTGGATATTGTAGTCGTTGTCTGTGTTTTAACGTCTGTGGCCGATTTCAGCACACTTGGAGATGGGAAAGATGCCACAGCCAGGAGAAGTGACTACTGTTATTGATGATTTGTTTAGCTGCAGTGCAATTTGCAAGATTTAAAACAAGGCTGAGCTATCACGCTAAAAAAGCTCCTGATAAAATACAGATCCAACATCAGAAGCGATAAATTAGAAATTTAGCATAGGAGAAAATACTTGTATTCATTTAAGCAATTAAACACAAAAGAGATATTTTTATTACTGTAGGCAACATAATCACTTAGGCTGAGGGTAAATACAGCTGGTTTCTCTCTGATAACTCTTTGGTGCCATTTCAGTTAATTCATTGATTTTAAGGGATATACTCAAAATTTACCTGTAAATTAGAAGCAATGTTTTGTACTTTACAATTTCAACACACATCATCTAGAAAGGTAAGCCTGCAGGGACAGGATATCTTCTAAAATTACAACTGCATCATCTCTTAAAGTACTTAATCTCCATAATATATGAACATTGAAAACCTGAGTAAACTGACAGGTGTTTCTAATATTATAATTGGAGAAACTCAGTATTTTAGAATTCTTTTTCAAATCACTATTTTCCCAAAGAACTTAAATATCTCCTAAATGTATTTAATAATATTACACTTTTATCAGCATTCCTCGGTTTTCCAATATATTTTGGTTTTGTAATCCCATTATATATCAATATTTACTTAGTTTACACAAGAAATGCAGTACTCCAAAAAGTCCTGAGGTAGAAATCACTAAGAGGCTACCCCTGCAAACACTGGAATAACTGAATACGTCTACCATGGGAATAGCATGCTCACCTCCTCTTACACAGGGTGCTGTAACAGAGCTCCTTATTGAGCTCAAAATAAGTCAGTTATAGAAAATCATTCAGTTTTAATTATATTTTAAAAATTACCAAATAGATACAGAAGAAAAATAATAAAAACTTCCTGCATTGACATCACTTTCATAAACTCAAGTCTTCTTAGAAGCAGAGACACCATCTGCCAGATGCTGCTATTGTGAAAGAATGATTTTGCACTAATAATTCAGCTGACACCTGGAGATATTGGCACAAACAATGACTTTTTACAAGATGATGCAGTTCTAATTTAGGAATCACTGCTTCATTTGTTCTCTCTGTATCTTTAGTTTAACCCATGATACTTAATGCACATACTGGCTCTGTGATGACTTTCTTACTGCACCTAGTATGTTGAGACTGTAATGGTTAAAAATATTTTGAAAGGACTACATGTTTATTCCCAGAAAATGGGTAATTTTTAAAAAATGATCACAATATATTACACTTCAAGGTCAAGTTTCAGTCTATTTGGATTCTGTGATTGTCTAACAAGTTGCACAGAAACCAATGAAACTTAACAGAAATATTCAAGTACAAATGTTAAGTAAATTTATTTTGCTTAGCAAATTCCTCTGAAACTTCAACCATTAATCTAAGTTTAAAAGTAATTTCCCTAGAGTTTAAAGCCATACTGTTAGAATTTGGTAAGTTAATACTATGCCATCATGAGTTAGAAGACTAATCTTCATAAGGCTATTTCTAGAAAACTTACTCAGAGTTGCATTCTAAATAACATTATAAGTAATTTGGCTTAAAGATTTATTTCTAGTAATAGACAAATCTATATGATCTATATTACACTGATTATGCAGTAAAGCTGTGTTCCCATGTCCTTTCTTTGCTGAAGATCACACTGGTTGAGAAGATTATTACCCCTAGACAGCCCTATCATTCCTCATGAGAAGTTACTGCCTCCTTCAGATTGACCTGCATAACTGCTTCTAAATCCACACTCATCAAAATAAGATGGTCTTTTCTACCATATTTTTTTCTACCATTTTGATTTGAAAAAGCAGGCAGGCTCACATGAACCCCTTAGCTAACAAACTGGAAGGGTGGTATCTCCACCAGAGAAGTGATGAATAGCTCCAGATGGCCTGCAGTAGGTAATCTTTCTCCTGATATTGCTGCAGCCAGGGAATGTGGACACAGCCTAAGATCAAAAACCAGAAAATACAGATCTTTCTGTAAAATGTATCTGTTAATAACTTGTATACCTTATATTGCCTCTTAAAGATAGAGAAGAGTCAGACACCTAGTGACATGCATCAAAGCTGCTATCTGAGATGAATCACAAAGGCGACATTCCTCTGTTTTCTTGACACGTTCACACATATAGTAGGAGTATTTTAGGCACCTTGCAGCTTGAGGCAAAACCATATCTGACAGTTGCTAACAGCAGGGATTTATGCCACTTTACATTTCATCCTAACTTTTAAAGCCAGTAAAATGATAATCCATTATTCCATGTTCTTAGAACTGCAGATTGTGTTAAACATAATTTAAAGAAAAACCAAGAATTTTGCCATGAAGAAAACATGGTACATTCTATTTTATGATAATAAACCAAAATCCTTGAATTTAATTTTTATCTTTGTTTAGGATAACCCATTTGTTTCCAAAGTTTGTGTGATCTCTGGACTAGAGAAAAAAAATACAAGTATGCGTGGATAATCTCCTTGCTTTCCTTTATGCCAGCTTTCTAAGATTTATTACAGTGAAACTGGAGCAAAGTGTTTCCAGGGTCAGAAACAGGATACAGGCTACTTCTACATTAGCAAGTAATTCAGAGCAAAAGGAACAGACAGACTGAAGCAGCTGGTGCTGAGGTCCCTGCAGCTATACTACACATTTGTTGTTTTACTTTGGACTAGATTTAGTCCAATTGAGTTGATGACCTCATTGTACATTGATGACCCCCATGGTTTTAAGCTAAATAATAAATTATTGGTTCAGATCCTTTCAAGAGCTGGTGAGCATTTAGTACATACCTGAAGCAGAACTTTTGAGTTAAATTCTTTCAAGAAAAATCTAGTACACATGCATCAACACACCATCAACAAATGGTAAGGGGAGATGCTGGAGGAACTCACTTCAAAATTACACTACTGCTTGAAATCAAACGTAGGTTTACTCCATTCCAGTAATAGATCATGTTATCCAGTCAGCTCAATAAAGCTTGGAGAAGATATTTGACAGCAGAGAGAATACAGCACCAGACAAATGATTTATGCACAGAATTGAATGAACCACCAAGCAGATGGGTTTCAGCACTAGAAGACATGGCTATTCTGTCCTGTTGCAGCCATTGCAACCAACAATTTGTTTCTTCTACTTCACAAAAGGAGCAATAACCTTAAGCTACTGTAAGGAACAGTTAGTGTGGCACCTGGGTAGATTAACTTGTTTGAATGAAAAATGCAGTACTGATTCTTTTTAGAGAAATCTCCCAATTTTAAATAAAAATTAACCTGAGGACCACAGACATTGGGAAATAGATTGATGAAACAGGAGAAGTTACCAATACTTCTAAAGTTTTCTAATGGGGAATCCTGTAGGAATTGAACCAAATTCCAAGTATATGATTTATTAACTTGAAGACAGCAATAATGACGGGTAATGGTGTTTAACGTTGGGACACAAACAACATTTTTCTTTTCTGCAGCATGTTCATCAGTAAGTCTTTACTCATCTTCTTATAAGCTTTTTCATTGTCAGTCTCCCACACATATCTGAAGATTGTTTTTCATTGGTTTAGCAAGTTATTTAATCTGTGGACTTTGCTTCAGGTAGCAGAGTAAGTCTACTTGCTGACTTCTCTTTCAGGGTCTACTTCATGCAAGCATTCACTACGAGTGTCTGTTCCCAGTAAGAAGGCTGGTGCTTTAACAGTCATCTTCCATGAGACACTGTCATCCTTAAATTTTAACACAAGTTAATAATGTCCCAGAGTCTTTTGTGCTTTTTTCAGTGAGAAAAATGAGAGAACTGAGAAAAGAAAGACATATGTACAAGCAGAACTATGCAAGATCCTATCTTGTGTTTGCATACAGAGACTCTGCAAAGCATTTATATTTACTGGTTTGAAATGAAGAAAAGGACAGACTTTAGAATTAACCTGAAATGAGTGTAATATTCTTAACCTAACTTCTTCCTACACCATGTAACTGTTGGTGTTAATCTTCTGAACATGAAGGGTATATAAAAATAAGAACATCTCAGGTCCCCCTGCTTTACAGCTTCTTGTTTCCAGAACTGATGGAGCACAGGGCCTCTTCAAAGCTCATAATCAAGCACAAGATTGAAAACTGCCTAGTCGCTGTACTAACAATCAGTCAATTTCTTCTTCTGAATAAAGAAATTACAGACTGCCAAAGCCAGTCTTAAGCTTAAAAAACTTCTATTTGAAATCTCTGCATAAATGACACTAAAAGATCCTTAATGCCAACCACCCCTCTTAGTCTGTTTTGTGTGGATGGGTCAGTCTCCTCTAGGTGACCATTCCAGCAATTCTTGAGGCGAAACCCATTACTTTAATAAAACCTAGAGAAAGAAGTTTTATTAGTCTTCTTTCAAATCATTATCTATAACATCTGAAATAGTGGCATCTATGCATTTATTCAGGAATACTACTTGTAAAGTAAAATTATCTAGATAAAGATTGACTTACCTGGTGCACACAGTCTAAGAACTGTAAGAAAACAGGAGCAAATCCACTACCCTGACAATTGAGAGTCAGATTACTACGTTGACTGAATTTATGACCAAAAGAGAGCCATTCTTTTTCCACCAGCATTCGGAAGCCTTCAAGCGTCCTATAGAAGGGATCGCTGAGTAACTGCACCAGAGAAACTACCTAGATCACAAGACAGCATATATTGTGTTAAGAGTGACAGAAGGTAGAAGAACACTTTAGTCAGTGAATATTAATATTTCATAATCTGTTTATAGTTCAAGGAAACAAAAGCCTTCATATAAACTCAATTACAACTATTTTACCACATACAGTAAGTATTTTTATAAACCAAACCAAATAATATCTCACATGAAAAAGCTTCAATTAAATTGGGACTTTACCATATCTGTAGAAGTCAAACCTGAGCAACTATAGATTCTGGAAGTCATTATAATGCTTACCACATTTAAATTACATTTGAAATAAAACCAATTTCCTTAATAAAATAAAGATAATAAACATTTTATGAAATAGTACCAGCTACCTCAGAAAAGAAAGTGTTAAAGAACTGGTCCTGAAGGTGACTTTAGAGTTTCTGCAGTGTTGCCATGCTATGGTGCTCATCAGCCAACTTCAGCCTGTTTTTACAGACAGCATCTCAGGAGACTTTAAAATGCAGCACAGACTTCTTTCACTTCCAGCTATGTATGTTCCCTTCCCTATTCTTCATTGTTTGACAATGATTTCAATAATTATGTTAACATTCTTTCGTAAGTTTGTTTACCTGGTATCAGGATGCTGGCTTCACATGAAGTTTTTATTTACTAGAATTACTGATATCTGTGTTTATCTTCTGAATTATGAAGCAACTACGTGGCCACAATGCATTCATTAAATGAGGCAGTGGATCTTCACCTAATTTATAGTTTGTTTCACAAAGTTATCTGTTCTGGTGATCTGTCCTTGCAGCAGGTGTTACAGTCACTTTGGCACAAATCTAGTTTTCTCCCTGTGTGTGGTCTCCTAGCTTCATTTATGGAAAGCGAATGGCAAGAGAAAGAATTCCTCTCCTTCCCTCCTGTGTTTAAAGTGTACTATGTTTACAAAGATAAATTATTTGTTGTTGCAACTTTCAGCTTTCATTCTTATATATGGTCAGATGCAGAAATGCAGATTTTATATCTAAGCCTTAGAACTCTAAGTCCATCAGGATCTTTGGAAAAAATTCATTTTAAGGAACTCTTTCATGGTGTAAATTGCAAATGAATGCAAGGATTCATGCATTCTAGTTTCTTCTCTGCTGCCACAACACAATGTTATTAATGTTATACCAAATTATCAGTCACTTTTAAAAAAAAGTATTCCCTGATGCTTTTTTTCTTGATATTTAGCTATTTCAAATTTTAACAGCAGCTTACTTGCGCAGTAATATCCCAGCCATCTTCCAAACAAACCATAACAGAAGAACCATTTTCCAGGAGCTCAGAGATGATCACACCCAATTGCATTATCCTGTGAAGCTATAAAGTATTACAAATAAGTAACATACTCGAGTTAGAGACATTTATAGATATTATCAATAAATAGAATATTTTCATATTTCATATTAAAATAGGTATTCTGAAATTTACGTATAGCATAGAGAAATGCATTGATGCAACAGATCAGAAAGCTATTAAATGTAACAGTCTCAGGATTTTTATCTGAATTACAAGAAAACTAAGCAAAGATTTGAAGATAGGAACTTAAACTATTAAAACCGATGAGTACTATACAAAATAACTGTCATAAAAAGGAAAATGGGAACAACACAGCTGACAGATTTATTATAGAGAAATTCCATCCTGGGCTTAACAGTAAAATAATTTCCTGTGAAATGCTGAGGTTCCATAAAGTCACTAAGTACTGTGATGGGAGAACCCACATAAGATGTTTACAAGATAATATTTCTAATGCTTATGGAAGTTGGAAATTAATGAACTGGACAATAACAACAATAATCCTCCTCCAAACGACAAACCTAAAAACAAACACAGAAAAATCCCCATTTGTATAATCTGGAAATAGTTTAGATAAATTAAACAGCATTTCTTATACTTTGCTTTTGAGCAGACTGGCTAAAACATATGGAAAGAGGACACGTTAATTATGTGCATTCCAACATTCATTATGCAGTGATACTAAAATTGTTTGCACAGGTGGGCTAGTTAATTTCTCAGAGACAAGTTATTGACTTGAATGAGATTGATTCAAACATGATAGATATAAGCAGGTTAAAAAATTTAGGGAAATTTGAGCAATTTTATCTTACTATGATAAAGTAGTGATTCACATTATGATTACTAAAAGGAAAAGCTACATGATGTTTCTACCATTTTTGTCATACTACGACAGCATTCTTGGTAAACAACATAACAGACAGTATGTACGCAATTCAGGTTTTTACAGTAGACCAAAACTGCTCTTTGCAGAGCACTGAATAAAATCCAACCAATAGCAGCAGTAGGAAAGATGAAAGCTTGAAAGAAGGGAGATAGCAATATAGGAAAACAAATAAACAAAAGATGGCAAGAGACATCTAAGATCATTTATGCAAGGGAGAAAGTAAGCTCATAAAGTACAGAAGGCACAAGAAAGTGATTCAGGGAGAACAAAATCAAATTGGACAAAATAAGAGGAAAAAAGATCAATCAAATAACAGTTATTCGTCCTTGTTCAGGACAGTCTGATTTTTCCCTCTTAAACCTTCCCCCAATCCTATGAAAATTATCGCAGAAATTGTGATGGAAAACATTTAACTCCTCTGAATATTCACATAGTCATTACTTAGAAAATAAACTAATTTTCCTGCAATTTTTAATAGGAAAAGATTGAAAAGAGCACCACTTTTAAAACCAAGCAGTTTGTTTATTGTTCTATACTTTCTTAGGCAGTAGAATAGCAGAAAGGCTGATTTTTGCCATCCTTAATGAAGAAACTGATATTCGATCTTGTTATACAAATGCAATATTAAAAATGCAAAATACTATTTTCATATGTATTTGGAAGATAGGGCAGCTCTTTAAATTTCTTCTTATGTATTCACATCCTTACAAAGCTTAATACAACAAAAACACATTTCCAAGATGACAGATCTATGTTCTTTCACAGGAATAGTAGACAGTGCGTCAAATCAGTCATAAATTAACTTTATCATGTAAGTCACATACGACATGATTTAAACTACAGAAATGTGGTTTAGATGTCCCACAGCTAGCGTGTGACATTATGCTGTAATCCTAAGCAACAAGCGACACGCTATTACTTTTCCTCTCAAATATGCCAAAAGAGAGTTAACTCCAATGTTACATTCTTCTTGTGATCTCTGTGCTGCTATAGGGACATGTTATTTCACCAAAGAGACATTCAATTTATTTACCTACACTTATCAACTTGCTCAACTACTCTGTGACTGAAAATGTTCACATGATGAGGGAGCCAAGTCTTCATGCTCTTCCCGCTTCTCTCCTTCCTGAAGAATGTGGGAACATTCAGACACAGCAATGACCAGTTCCTATGCTCTCTAAGGAGTTATCACACCTCAAGGAAAGAATTTAAGCCACTCCTTGCACTGTTGCACATTTCAACCAGGAGTACATTTTCTGATGTGTAATTATTGAGATGACTGTGTTACTCACGTGTATTTCCTCCTTAAGAAATCAGGATAAGAGTCTATTCTGATTTCTATGATTAATTGCATTTGAGAATAATATATTCAGCCAAGGATTTAAAACATAACATGCAATTGCTAAAAAATTTTTACTATAATTAAAATGGGTTTAGATTTACAAAAAGCTGACTTTCTCACATCCTTCTTAATTAGTATCTTGCAAAGTTACTTCCAGCCTTGTCTTTGTTTGGTTGATCTTTATGTAAGGGAATATGGGATAGGGAAGTAAAGGAACACATTCAGAGAGAACAGATTAACATACACACAATCACGTCTCCCCCGCATATACTTCCCCATATCCCACAACAGATAACAGATGCCAGATGCTAGCTTATTTGTTAAATTCTTGTGCCTATGGAAATTCAGGATGGGAACACATAAGAAAAGTAAAATATCAGGTTTAAAATTGAAAGGCTCATTTATTGTTCTATACTTTTTTTCTGATTTTTAAAATGTATAAAATAAGAAAAAGCAGTTAAAACCAATAATATAAATTTATATAAGCAGAAAATCAACTCTACTTGTGTACGTGTTTCATGTTAGAAACCATAAATTATGCTATAAAAAATGCCTCCCACACTTTTACATGTTATGATTGAGTTAAAATAATAATGCTTATGGTAATGAGAGAATTGATACTATGCAAAATAATGACAATGAACAAAGAAGAACAGCAGGTTAGAACACAATAGTTCTCTGTCAGAAGAGCCTGAAGTTTATTTTGTGTAAGCAGTACTGCATATAGATTATTAGAGGTATCTGTCATATAAATTACCTGTGGGAACCACTCTGACTCCCCAAGTGCTTTAAGGAATGTTGACTCAGAATCTGTAGGAATAGTGCTGGGAACACAAGCTCTCATTAGCTTTTTAAAGCTTGCCTTTGTCTGTCGGATGTCACTGAATTCAACAGGAACAAACTCACAATTCAAAGCAAAATCAAGTTTGAATCCCTGTGTGAAAAGGACAACAGCAGATGTAATTCAAAAGGGAAGCATATTTTTCACTGATGGTCTCATCAAATCTCAAAGTCTTGCTTGCTTTATTGCTAAATATTTCAAGTCCTAATTAAAAATCTGTTTAGCTAAATATCTTTCCAGGATAATATAAATCCTCACACCACTTGCAAAATGTATCATAATAAAGTACTCATCTACTACTCATAAGAGCAGAATGTATTGCATGGCAGTCATATTTGCAATAGTAATAATAGTAGTAAAAAAATAAGGTTGAGTGATAAATCTATTGAGTTCTTATACACAACATAATGTGCTTCCTTTAGGATTTTTCAAGCAAATTAACAATAAATAAATAAAAATAAAATAACTGTATGGATGGCATACCAACAGTGCGAGACAGATTCTGGTAGATGAATAAAGCAGAAAATAAGTAACCTCTGAATCCGAAAAGAACCCCCAAAACTGGAAACTAGCTGACTCATCTAAGCAATCACTGCACATTGAGACAGTCGGTTGTCTAAATTACTAGTTCAATAGCAGTCAGGGCATATCTGAGATTATTTCCAAGAGGTACGCGAGGTTTTCCTAGCAGAATTCTTCATGTTCTTTTTTACTTACTGCATTTAGAAAATGAACAATAAGAGAGGAGGACTGATTTAAGAGATCAAGTTAGTTAACTTAAAAAAAAAAAAAAAGGATAATATGGAGAATGTTATTAGTAAAAACAATTCTCATGTATGAAGCATCCCTGAAGATCTTCACAGGAAGCATTATAAGTTTTATTCAGAAATTGCTCTTTCACGGAATTAAGCTTAATCTTCATTAAGCTGCTTCATAGCATGCCAAACAAAAATGGTGGAAAGTGAAAGTCCAGATTTAGTTCTGTTTATATTTTGGTATTGTTAAAAGTAGTATCTCAACTACTAAACTTGGGTTTTTTTAGATTTCTAAGTTGTACTAATGTATGATAAAAGCAATAGAGAAAAGAAGCATGATTTCCTTAAAATGTTATATATTTCTGTTTGTATCATCAATTTATGTGACATGGTATTTAAAGAATAAAGCAGGTCCTTATAGGAATTAACATCAGTAATGCATGCTCTGCCACACTGTTTACAAAGCCAGCATATTCCAAATCAGCAGGATTATAACAAAAGCTAGGAAAATACGTCACAATAAAAAGATCAACAAGATTTCTTTATACAAAAACAAAAGCTGAATTGATTTTATAGACTAGATACAAATCAATGAGAGAAGGTTTGAAACAATCACTTAATCGCTATGTAATTTTATTCTTACATTTGCTGACACAATACACTTTTCCTTTGAAATGCCCAGAGATGACTTATCTTCCGTAAAATTGTATTATTAAGCAAAACAAAAAAAAAGTGAAAAACTCGTAAGCCCTAAACTGGTAAGGAAATAATTCAGCATAATGTAAGGATCCTTGAAGAATAGACTTTTAAACAATTTCCAAACTATATACATCCTACTTATTTTGTCCAATGCTTGTTGCAAGTACATCCAATAGTCAGCTCTTTTCATATTCTGCATAATAATACACACCTGTACGCTAATATATTAAAAATGCTTTAATCTATACCAAGAACTAACATATTATCCCCACTTCATTTGTGACTGCTGATACATTAAACAACTTCCATTTTTTGCCCAAGTGGTCTAAAGAGTCACTTCAAAGCAGCAGACTAAAGATCTTTCTACTACATATCTATTCATACAGCAAGACGAAAAATTGATATGAATAGACCAGTTTGAGAACTTTGGGAAGAATATGCTTTACAAAAGGAAATGAAACTGCTAACTCAATAAAACAGAAAAATTTTGCCAGAAAATAGTTTTCTTATTGTTCAAAAGAACAGTTTGTTCTAATAATGATAAATGATGTTTACTTTTGAAATTTCTGTTTAGTCTTTTATGTTATATTCTCATGCTTTATTACATCAAATCAGAACACTGATTATAGACTTAACAGGATATTTCTGTAAATTATTGTTATGCTAATTATATTAGAAAGCGATAGAATGTCAAATGAAATCTAAGTAATTGAAAATGACTACTTTGTGTACCAATGTGTAATGAAGAAACCAAAAGGAAAATGAATTTTCAAAAATAAAAGACAAAAAAAAGGAATAAGAACTAATATCTGTTATATAACCATCATTTAAAAATACAACTAAAACTACAAAAAAGATATAAAAAACCCATTTTAAATCACAAAGAAAAGTCAAAATAGAAAAAAGTTTGCAAATAATTTTGATTCATCACTCTGATACAGTATGATTCTTCCATCTCCTGATAAAAAATACTTTCAGAAAGAACTGAATACTCATGTATTTTCCTACTATCAATAACTGCTTTTGGAACTTACATATTTCAAAAAATACATAATATTTTATGCATGCCCACATTTCAAATAAGAAATTAGAAAACAATTGATTTTTCAATCTTTGAATGCAGAGATTTAAAAAAAAAATCTGCAAACATTTTCTGAAAAAAAGTAAAACTACCAAGAATTAATGTAGAAGATACCTGTTTCTTAAACAACTGCATCTAAAATATTAAAATCTACCCAAAAAGGTGTACAAAACTGTAGACATCATGGTCCTCTTCATGTAATCAAATCAAGACAGACTTCTGAGTTGGCCTTATTCACATCAATTTGGCTTCATGAGAGTTTAAGCACTGCCCACAGTAACGAAGGTTTTCTTCTCTGGTAATCGGTTTCCTGACTAACGTTCCATTTGCTTCATAACATATTTCAACACATCAGGAAAAATAAAATTGCACTTTAAATTACCAAATCAGTCTGTTTCATGTTTCCCAAAACAGAAATCACTGGGATAATGACTCAGCTGAACATCAGATGAGTAGTCAGAAGAATCAGAGTACAGTAGGCATGTATTTAGGTGTAATTAAGCATGGTTCTTAAAGCAAGAACTCACAGGATTCCAGCACTTCCCTTGAAATAGGAAGTCTCTGAAAGGGGCAGCAAGCTCCACTGCCTCTACCCCAGCCCCACTCCATTTGCACAGTCCCACCATTCATCTTTATCCTCATCTTTATCCCAGCAGCTACACTGAGCAGACCCAAACTGCTGCCCTCATTCTCTGCAAAGCCAATGCAGAGAGACACTTGAGACAGCGAAGACATGGTGACTTCTGAATATGAAGGCTTTGCTGGATGCTCGGTGCCTAACAATGTATTTCCCTTCCATTCTCAATTCTTTCCATTCCCACCTTGCACAAAAGCTATCCCATTCCTCTAGCCATCTGTTAGCCATCTTTGTATCTCTTAGCTCTACTACACATCAGCACTTGACCAAAAGTGACAAATAGGGTTCTACTCACAGAACTTTTGTAAGTTTGAGCCTGATATTTTACTGCTCTTGAAGGTTATTTAGTATATTTTAATTTATGCTAACTTTGTTGTGTTATATAACCACAGAGCTTGATTTGCACACCTGCCTCCAGCCCCTACTGAGTTGTGTAGCATTGTTACTCTGCACATAGGAATAATCATCGTAAGAGCTTACACCTTTAAGAGAGTTATCCATCTGCCTTATCTAGAATATTATTTACTGTCTTGTAAAAAAAAAAAAAGGGTTATTAAACTCAAGTCAAATAAAAACTATGTTAACAAAAAAAAAAAAAATTGACATTACCCGTAACTGAGATTTTTCTCCAAATATATAGAGGGCTGCTTGCCGTCTCAAAAGCTGACTTTGCAGAAAAGTGCTGCTACTATAGGAAGTGGTGTTATCTTTCCCTGCAAGTCTTGCACCAACATCAATGAATGGAGTCTGAGTGTTGATAAATCGATTGCTTGAACGAAGACTCGCCCATACACCTTCATAAAGATGAAAAAATATTTAAAAACCTCTTTGCTTGAGGCACTGGAGATCATAATTATTAAGGCATACGCTAAACATAATTTGGAAAGTAAAGTGCTAAAATATGTCATTTGTATCCCTCATAGGACATAATTAACAGCACACACTACAAAGAAATATTTTCATAATACAAATTGTCAAAAAGATCCCACTGCTTTGTCATTTAACGTAAGACACTTACCGAACTCTGCACAGCACTTTCTATTGTAGAGAAAATGGTTGCGATATCAGTAATACAATGACAAAATGAATCACAACTTCCAAGCAATTAACGTCCATTTAAGTGTATGGAAATGAATTTGCAAGTGTTCTTTTCACAAGTTGGGACGAAAATCTGATATATTTCCTTGTCAAATGTGTATTATTTTGGAAATCTAACTAGTAAGAATATTATATAATTTCTTTCTTCAAAAAGAGAAATAGTGTCACATAAAATTCCCTGTTACATAGAATTCCTGTGTTCCTTTCGTTCTACACAATGTAATAGTATCAACAATATCATATTATAATGAAAATGTATATAAAGAATATCAATTCAAATATTACATTTCAGAATAAAGAATTCCATATTTATTCTTGAAATGCCATGATTAAAATGCAGAATGCCATGAATTTTAGTTTTTAATTGTGTATGTCTAATGGACAATTAGAATTAAAAGGAATTTAAAGAAGTTCTTTTTTTAATCATGTGTTTCACAACTATATTCTAGCAGATGTAACTACAGTACAGTTGTGTGAGTATAGAGTAGGATGCCCAGATTATCACATTCTGACAGTTTTAATGTAATTTAATTTTAATGGCAGTAAGATCGCCATTACCCTGGCAGCAGGGTATGGTAGAGAAATCCCAAATCTAGCAACGCGAGCTTGAAACTGCAGTGTGATGTGGGACCATGGACCTGCACCTGAAAGTAGCACAGCAATATTTGAATGGCATTGTACCAACCTAATAACCTCTGCCTCTCAACAGCATTTTTAGTTTGTATATTGTGCCTTTTTGATGCAGCTGTATTGTATTGGGGAGGAAATTCCTACAGCACGCAGACATGCTCTCATCTGATCATGCTTCAGTAAAGTTTCATGATTTCAGCATAAGATAAAGTAGTGATAAATCAGATTGCCAAGGTCTGTTTAGCACCAGCAGAAGAAAAGACAAGCAGAAAATATTTTTCTGTTTCTTGTGTCTTAGTTAATAACAATGATTTTGTGAGACTGTTTTCATGTGTCCAATGTGAGGTACGTGAAAAGTACTTGATTTTCAGAATATAAATAGCACTACTTGAAAATCTAATCCCTTAAAGTATACTAAATTTGGTGTTCAAATGGCAGTGTGAAATTCTTTAACCCAATATGCAGTAAATCAGATTGTCAGAGAGACTCTTGTCCATAAATCTGTGAAGCAAGATATCCCAAAGAGGCACCAGAAATCCCTCGTAGTACTAGAAATTTAGATATACCAAAAAATCGTTCAATCCCTTCAGTAAAATCCAATAATACGCATGGTTAACACTTCTCGCATAGAAGAAAAAAGCTGCAGATAAGAGTAAAATACCACTGAGATAGCTCAACCAGCAAAATAATTTTATTCTAGTTTTAGAAGCAGGTTTAATTTTCTACTAAAGAATAATTCCGTATACCAAGCCTCAATAGGGACTTGTCTGTACAGTTTCGCTTGTCTGCCTGCCTGGCAGCTAGGCTTAGATCTGAGCAAATGAACAGGAGTAACTGAGAAGGGCTGGCTAGGAACTTATGAATTGGTAACAGTTCTAAACCAGTTTCCACTTCAAAGACAGCCACTTTTATAAAATACCTCACATAGTAAAGTATTATGTTTAGTACAAACTTTTTTTCCACATCTGAACTACTACTGCTGAAATAATAAAGACTTTAGCAAGCAGAGATCACAGCAAGCATTTAGTGAGAGAAACAATTTCTTGTTCATTTTGTATGAAAAAATGCTAGGTTCAACACAGACAACTGTCCCCAAAGAGAATACATACAAAAATACACAGTCACACTTTATAACATTTTACAAATGCAGGCCATCACTAGCACCTGCAGAACATCAAAAGCAACAAAACTGGTTTCAAATACATGTAGATGAACATGTTTACACGCTGATGAATAACAGTGATTAAAAGACACAATTACAGTGCTATTGTATTTCTATTCTAATTTTGCCTAGTATTTTTTGCCTTAATTTTTGTTAGAAGTATCTATCTTTCATTATTTGGCCTATATCGTATTATTAAGACTTTCTAATTTGGCAGAAATCAATTTTTCCCTGTTCATTAACATTAACAATAATTTTGGAAAGAAAGTTCATTTCACTAGGTAGCAGTATTTTTTAGCTATTTTACCAAAGCAGTAGGAATACTAAACACTATTTTGCAGAATTAATTTTATGCTGTTTAGAATTTTCACACAGAAAATTTTCTACATATCACTCTGCATTAGATCATAACATGGTGAAGTGTTTGGCTAATCACTGTCACTGCATCATACATTCAATGGCGAAAAAAACTCAAAGCAAAACAAAACCACAACAACGAGCTAAAAAATTCAAAATTTTGTTAATGCAGAATCCAGGTTTTCTGTCAGTAACACTTTAGCATGTATTAAGATACTGTAATAGTTATGGAGATGGTAGAAAAGAATGTGCTTTCAGGACACAGAATACAGTACCTTGATGGACTCTTCCCTTAGGTGCTGATTTGGAATTTGAATGAGTGAAACATTTATCTCTGTACCCAAGCACTGGTAGATAACAGTTAAGACAGAAGGAGGAGGAATGGAATGCACATTGCAGCGAGACACATTGCAGGAGAAAAGAAAAGGGTTACTTAGTAATTTCCAAAGATCTAGCATATATTGAATTTCTTTATAGCATAGGATTTATCAGACAGCACAAATCTTAGTCATCACAAGACAAAACATCAATCAAGCCAGAAAACCAATATAAAATGGGAAGGAAGTACCCATTTATCAAAAAAGAGTAATTTGCATTGTCATTGCAATAGTTTCAAACATGTAGCATAGCCATCATGTGTTTTCCATAATTATAATACCAAAGGAAATGTAATGATTAAATCATTCTGCTGAATACTTTATTGAAAGCTTCTATCCATCTGACAGCTTAACTAAAAATGCCAAACCTTAGGCTTTTTCTAAAAACTGTTTTAGTCTATTTTAGGTACCAAATTTGATGGACTTCAAAATCAGAGTGCAAGATGTTAGTTCTATACATCTACAAACATTTTTAAAGGACTGTGTAAAAGTATGTAATTTAGAAAACATGTAATATCCATTGCATAAAGACATTTCCTCCATCCTTGCAAAAATCCTCATTTTCCGTGGGAGCCTTATATGCTTATCGGGGGTGTATTTTTGGCTCAAAAGTCACATCAGTACAAGCAACTTCTTTTAATACAAATATTCTATTCAAACATACTCAAAATATTAATATCTTCTGCATTTAAAATGAATGTTGGAGCTGAGCCTGTATTTATTAATTATAAATATCCGAGTATTTTTCCAACAGCAGCAAATCATACTGAGAAAGTATTTTATTCTACTAAATTACACAACAATGCCAGGTTAAGAAGTGCTGTTCTGTAGAACCATGCTCTAGTTACGAAGTAATATAAGGTAGGTACGTGTTTTGAGTGAACTTACAATTCTTACGGAAGATATCAACCAAGGTATTGCCAAAAGAAAGGTTCAAGAATGCAAATATATTATGAAATACAAGTATTTGGCCAAATATTTCAGATCAGAAACAACTTAACTGGGCTTTAGGCAACTACTTTGTTACAATGTTCCAGACAACGCAGAAAACTGTACCTGACATGAATACAAAACTTCAGGACAATTGATGAGTATTCAGAATGATGATGATTTTTTAAAATGAGAAATACTATTCTCTGGCATGTATCTTTTAGCTTAAATTTTAAAAGGATGTGTATTAAAAATACATTGCCTGGCATGAAAAGTAGAAAATGTCATTTTCAATCGGTGTATCTTAGCTAAATCTGGCTTTTCAGCCCTGGTATGTGTGAGAGTGAAAACAAGGAAAGAGGGTTCCAGAATCAAAACCACAAAAATATTGCTATTGTATTTTGTACAGTGTAGTGCATAATCCATAGCTGCTTGCTATGATAAAATAACTAGCTAACCCCATTTTCTTTTTTTGCTTTTTGAGTTATTCTTAGGAATACGAAGGAGAGAGAAACCATCATTTTTTGACTGCCTGCATAAAATAAGTCTGTTTCTTCAGCTGATCAAAACCCTGTATTTTTGGTCCTGCATGTAGTCTTGTGACACTACTTCACATGTGACATACAACTAGCTGTGAAAAGGTATTAAAAAACTTTGCAATAATAAATCACATGAATCAATTTGAGAACAATTGTAGAGATTCTACATATTTTGTGAATTTTAGAGTTTCTTCTAAAAGAATTCTGTTAGCTCATCTAAAAACTCTATTATTTACTTCTCTATAGGGAGATATTCCCTTTCCTTGTTCTCTCTTACCCTGTCAACTTCTCACCTTCACTAGGGCTCCCATTGTACTTGTCAAACATTCTTA